AACAAAAGAAAACCCCTCGCAGTTTAAAGTGCAGTGGCAGAGCGCCTTTTCCGTGATGGAAAGGAGCGCTTAGATAACAGCCGTTTTAGCATTTCTGTCCTCTGAATGGAGGTCCTGCTAACTCTGTGAGTGGCCAGATCAGTGTGCAGTTAAAAAAAAAAAAAATCTGCGTTTCGTTCTTAGGAGTTTTTTTTCCATCTTGGCTTCTCTAGGGTTGAGTGCTTTGCACAGAGTTTGGATAAGCATCTGGTATTTTTACAGGGTTTTGGTTTTACTGACAGAACTTGATGGAAAGCCAGGAACTGAAGGGCTTTTTGCTGATCCTTCTTTGCTTTGAGTCACTTTGTAGCTTTAGCTTTCTGTTAACTATATCATTGCTTATAAACTGCAAATGCGTATTTGCGCGTGGAGGAGTAAGTGTATTTTCAGATGATTTTACCACTGTTAACGTGCTAATAATTGTCAGGAAGTGATCTGTGAGCCTTTTCAGAGCCTTTATCCAGCAAAATCTCAGCGTCTGCCTGTTGCACTTCTGAGTCGATGGGTTAAGTTAAAGGAACGCTGTTGAACATCTCGTTTACGCAGGCTACGGCACGTACTTGCAGTACTGGCTGTTGGAGTCCTTACTGTTGCACTTAATGCTAAAGAATGCATTGCAAGTATTCTTGTTCCTAAATCACTGCACCCACTTCAGCAGCAAAGGAGGGGAAATGCTCTTCCAGGCAATAGATAAACGTTTTGTATAGGCTTTTGGGGGCTTCTGTCTGTGATGCTGAAGAAATTATGCAAATTCCACTTTTAAGCTCTTAATATTTTCAAGATCTGATTATATACCTGCGTAATTAACATAAGAGATGGATCATCTTGGTAGACAGAGCTTTTTTTAAGCTTTATGGGAGACTGAGTATCTTTCCATTTACTGATCAGCAGCTCCCTGTGGTCGCAGAATGACACTTTGCAGCTTCATCTCAGTGTGCAGAATGGGTGCCTGAAAGGAGAGAAGCAGTGGAAGGTTGGAGGTTAAGAGTTGTATTTGGCTTCTCTTTAATGAAAGGTTACGTATCTACTTAGGCAGAGGTGATGTAACATGCCTGAAGGAAAGCTATCAGGGATTCCAGTTCTTTGCTAGGAAAATGTGAAATCCCATTTTGCCAGAGTTCTGCAGGCATCGGGTAATGTCATGTTTTGCAGGTATTTGTGAAATACATACTGGGAATGTAAGCATCTCCATGACTACTCTTGCAATTGATTTTATGGCAGAATAAAATCTGATTATTACTCTTGTTAGATCTGTGAGGCTGATGTCACTTAAAGAC